TTTATTTCTCCATACAATTTTGGGAAACCTTGGTTATTTTGTATCGTACCGCAGTATTCCGCGTTTCTATAAAGACCGTACCAGTTTTTCGCGTTTCTAAAGACTGTTCCAGTTTTCCGTTCATYGAGAGTAATATAAATAGTTATTAATTAGCTTTTTGGCTACTTACTTGAATGACTGAGTGTTTCAAAATTGATTAACTATTTTTTTAATATTCATTTTTAAGAAAAATGCAGCCTTTACAGTTTGACATTACCAATACTATACAGTAGCTTTTACATTAAATTATTATCTCCTATAGATGAACAATAGCATTCAACGAGTATCTCCGCCTATGGAACTAGGAGAAGCCCCACACTGGAATCCGTTGACTCAAAGCTTATATTTCGTAGACGTACACAGGAAGAGAATTAACAAATACCATCCAGAAACCAGMTGTTATACTACCGCTAYGATAGGTAAATAATTAATAAAATGTAATATGAAGACCTGCAGATAAATAAAATAACTATTGTATTTTATTTATTATTACTTTGAAATCATTTACAGATTACAGACGARTGTTACATTGTTTTTCTMTGTTTTTTTATTCAAACTACTTAAAGGTCTTTGTCAATATGTGTCATAACTACTCATAAGTGGGTGGTAGGGAGATCATTTAATCTATTTATCTATTTATCTATGTATACATCATTATATGTATGATAATACCCTTCTTCTCCACGAAGAGACATGTTGCGGTTTTCACTACCAGTGGAGTGTGTAACCTAGTTGGAAACCGGGGGTGACGCAATCGGACAAAGGCTCGAGAAATTGGTGATCGCGTAAAACCACGCAATTTTATGCACTTAGGCACTTTGCTGTGAATCAAACCAATAACTGTGTAACCACTGCACTGAGTGTTACATGTATAGTAATTTATTTTCATTTTCATTTTTTAATTCTGAAAATAAAAAATTTTCAACATAATGTATTTTTTTTTTTTTTAATTCAAAATAGAGAATTTTTAAATTTATAGTTTTAAAAAAATGTTGATTATTAACATATTTATTCAATATTTAACCATACTTAATCCATATAGCTTATTTTATACAATTTTTGAAATCGTATTATTAAGTACAGAACTAATTTGAAGTTCAAAACATATAAAAAATTTTTAAATATTAAATGAGAGTTTTAAAATATGCACTTGTATGTGAGATATCTAAATAGTTTTTGAAAAATGATTTATTTTCAAATAATTTAATATAAAAATAACATTTAAAAATATCTTAGTTACAAAATAAAACAATTGACTTTAATAAATGTTTTAACAATCAAAAGTTAAAAAAATTTACAAATTTGTTATTTTGCTACAATTTTTTTCCCAAAAAGATTTAGATCAGACTTAAAGTTATTTAATCTCAGTATTAAAACTAAAACTAAAAATTATGTATTGTAGTGAGTGAGACAACAAATAGCTATACAAAAAAAAAAACAAATCAAAACCATTGATTAGAACAAAATATAATTATTTTATTTGTCAGGTCTTCCTTTAATACTTTTTCTTTATACACTACCTTACATTGCACTTAATAAATAATTTTTACTCGTCATTCACAGATTGCTGCGATCCTTTGACTTTCATCATTCCAGTCCACAACCAACCTAACACTTTCTTGGTTGGCCTGGGGCCTGCTATTGGTGTAATAAGATGGGATGGATGTTCAAATAGAGCCGAGTATAGATATTTAAAAACGATTGACAAGACTCCAGGCAACCGTCTAAACGATGCAAAAGCTGACACCTCCGGTCGCCTTTGGGTAGGTTAGTTTGAAAATTGGAGGTTGTTGTGGAACAGATCTGCTGAAGGGCATTGGTATTTAAACCCTAATAATTTTTTCAAGGATCTATGGGACCAGAAATGAACGACAATCCAGGTTATTACCATAAATGTCGAGGTTCGCTGTTCACGATTGAATTTAACGGAACTGTCACAAAAAGATTGTCAAATATCAGTATATCTAATGGTATGGCGTGGAGTCTGGATAACAAACTATTCTACTACATAGACACTTATAAGTATGCGGTCGAAGCTTATGATTTTGATCTTTTATCGGGAAATATTTGTTAGTCACCACTACGATTGTAGATTCAGATTTTATTATTTTAAGAAACAATATTATTAATCGTGTGTTTCTTTATTATGCAGGCAATGGAAGGGTGATTTTTGATTTTAAGTGCAAAAATATAACTGGTGATCCGGATGGTATGACAATCGACACAAATGGTAACCTGTGGGTGGCTTGTTTCAATAGTGATCACGTGAGATTTTAAAAGATAATTTTTCATTTTAGTTAATGATTTCAAATGTGTATGTTTTATGTTTTTGTATTAGATTTTAAAAATTAATCCCAACACCAGCACACTGATGACGACCATCCAATTTCCTGCCTACCAGATAACATCTGTTGCTTTTGGTGGCCCAAATCTGGATCAGCTGTATGTGACCACAGCCAGTTACAATACAAGCGATGTGCAAAAATCAAAATTACCGTATTCCGGAACTCTATTTCGAGTCATCGATACATGCGCAACTGGTTTTAACGGCGTACCTGTCAAAATTAATTTGAGTTCGTTAAATTAACTATGCGCTAAAATATAAGACAATATAAGTAGCCACCGTCGTAGTAATTTTATTTTATTAAAATATGAATTGATTAGTGTTATAATTTGTATTTGGTTCATAAATATTAGCACGTCTAATCTAAGTTTATTTAAAATTTCAATAGTTATTTATTTATACAGTTAATTACAACATTTTTTTTACAAGAATACACTTCATGGTTGTATAATCGAAAATATTATGTGTAGCAACATAAAAGTTTACAGTCTATTGAATTCAATAAAACATAAGTTTTTTTAAATAATTCTCGATCACTCCAATTGTTTATTTTTTAAAGAGATCCATAACTATCGAAATTCTTGCCAATATTGCGTCACTGCTGTATGGCCTGTATGCCTCTTATCCCACCTAGTTGCACTAAGTAACTATAGTGAGGAATGTAAAACAGATTTTAACATAAATTTCGTTTTAACATTCATGAAAAAATTTAATTAGTTGCCCAAAACTATTCCGAATGAATCGTATGTTTTTTCGTCAATGGAGTTAAAAACAAAATAAATAATAAATTATATATACAATTTTGTAACGCGGATGCCGTTATCACCATTTATTAAAATAAAATGGACATTTTTCAACGTACAAAATGTTCGTGGATATTTCAATAACGACCATCTTTGATAAATTGCATGAAGAAAATTTTAGTTATGATTATTTGCAAATAAAATATTTGATATCTATTTTGTGAACGAGAGAGTGGAATTGCCGCTCTTGTCCACTCTTGATACACGCCGTTATTACACACAGGTGATCGACGTATGGTAAACTCCGACTATCTTAGGTGGAAAAAGTCAAATCAGTTTTGTGGTAGAAAATAGGGCAAGAAAATATTAGCACCCGGACGGCCATTTTTTGAATACCTACGTCAGAAATATATAATATGTATTATAATACAATAAGTAGGTACCTTTTTTAAATAACTGTTAAAATACAATATACTACAATAGTGGTTCTCAATCTTTTTTTGTTAACGGCACTTTAATATACATCACAAATCAACTCAAATCTAATGGAACAAAGAACTGTTTTCAATATTTTTTAGCATCGAAATTACAAATATCAAACGTTTTTCGCAGAACACTTAGTCGATCTCACGGCACACAGACTGAGAACCACTGCACTACAATATATACCAGGGGTGGCCAACTAAAATACGTCCATGAACCGCATAGATAAATACAATATCAAGAGCCAAAATTTTTATAAAMATTTTTTTTTTTATCATTTTATCATTAATAAGTGAATGTTATTTTTTTTTTAATAAGACGCGAGCCGCAAGTTAGCCACCTCCGGCCACCTCTAATATAATAAACACCATGATTCCATGAATAGTCCACCTACCAAGTAGGTATATTATATAGTGATATATTCTAATAATAAAAACGCCAGTGTTGTTTATATTGGACACTTACCGTGCTATGGCGGAGGAATCACGAAATCCGTGCGGTAATGATGAAATGCGGCTGGATATTTTTTGAGCACTGTGGACACCCGGMGAGATAGCGAGGATAAGAGATAAGACCGAACGAAATATTGTATTATGTATTAATATACGCTACCTATAATGATACAATTATCTAGTGTTTTCGATAGTGGTTATAGTGGTTAAGGCTTAGACGATGGTGGAGTAAGGTCAACAGGCGTATTCGCTTGGCTTAAACAAGCACAACTTTGCTTACTAATCTACATTGTTACGACCTCTTTCATAAACCCGGTGATGAACAAGAGTCCACRCTGCAGGAAGTCCAGCGAACTAATTCAAAAAATGTCATATAATGATTATTTTTAAAAATTTGATAAAATTGAAAAACTGTTACGACAGATACATAGTTAGTAACTCGGAGGTATTTTAATTATAAAAATTATACCACTGGGATTACTTACAATTTACTTAGCTATTTTACCCAATACCCTTATTTATTTTAACATTTTTGAATTCTTCGATGATTCATTTTTTATTTTTAACACAAAGTAAGGTATTTTCCTAGTTTTCATTCATTCAATTCAAAATATTAATTAGCTCAAAAATATTTTTATTTCCTTTAATGTACTTCAGGATTCAGTAAAATAGCACTACATCAAGTATAMTAATTTAAAAAATACATATTCAAGTAATAGGTATATACAGTGGTGTATCTAGGAGATGGAGAAGTGGTCAGTMTACCCTGAGCCTCACACTCACGAGAGGCTTCAAAAGTCACGAATTTTTGTTTTGAGAACCCTATGAATGTTATAAAAATATGAAAATAATGCTGGTATTCTATAAAGAATACATTTTGACATGACGTATCAAGCTCTAGTAATAAATATTATATATATACTACTGCTGATTGATAAAGATAACACAATATTATAGAGAAATTACTTAAAGGCATTATTGCCAACATTAAGGACAGTGAACACACTTTCAATTTTCATTAAAACAACCTAAGAAACGGGAAAAATTGAGGTATTTTTGATTAGATGATAAAGTTTAATTCAAAACAATAGGATATGTACAATATTTTGAAAAGTTTTTAATAGGTATGATTATAAGAATTAGAYTATTTATACTTTGATTGAACCCTTAAAACCTGAAATTATGCACTAAATAATTTTATTTTTAAATTAAATAATATGCAAAATGGGTTGATGTTAAAAGTAAACCGAACAACATTGTAATAAGTAATACAAATACACATAAAATGTGATCAATACTATATAATCCAGGAGTGGCAACTTACAGCTCTCGTCATAGTCATGTGCGGCTTGTTTTATTTAAAAAAAAAACCAATATAAACTTTTAACAATAAAATATGATACAATCATGAAAATTATAAAATGTATCTATAAACATTTTGGCTGTTAATATAATTGTATTTATCCATGCTTTTCGTGGAGTTGGCCACCCCTACAGTATATACTATATTCAAGTGTAACATTTTTAAATCGATTAAGTTAAAATAACAAATGATTGAGATTTAGTGATCATAAGAATTAAATACATCATTAGTAAATAAAAAAAATGCATATTTATATTGTACTAGAGATTAAATAACCATAGATTTGTATACTTTCAGTAGAATTATAACTTAGAAATAGACAATGATGTAAAATCACTGAATACTAAAAAAGTTATTTGTAATAGATTTATAATAAGTATAAGTTATTTTACTACGAAAAAACATTAACAGTATGAATTAAACAAAAAAAATAATCTTGTTATAGAGTATGTTTGACTTTGATAAAAAAAAAGAACAAAGTATAAAAATGAAAATTAATTTTTCATAAATTATTTATGATAAAATGATTCCCAATATCGGAGGAAAATTATTGCGAATTACCAGTTATGGACTGGATCATCCTCATTACGTTATCATAGTCAAAAATCCATAGTCCTTCAGGGTCTATTCAAAATAATTGTCATCGTTCATCTCGTGTCCACATTTCCTACGACCTGTAAGACAAAAATATATTTAATTGGGGTAATGGGGTTAAGAATAATAGGTTTGTGTAAATGTCTATGTAATTGTATAGTATTCAATGTTGAATAGATTCTACAAATTGCCAAATTGCCTATTAAATGTTGCATAAATTTATTCCACCCCCATACTACTGTCACCTATAATAATTTTAGACCATGATCTGATTTTAGTATTTGAAATATCTACATAGTTTTATATGGCTTAAGCAGGGTAACAATGTAACTATTTTGTAATAATTATATAGAGATCAACAAGAAATGAATTAATTTTTGATTTAGTAATATAAAAAAGTAAAATATGATGTGATTAACTGACTCTCTTGTTGTTACGGTCAATAATCTGGACTTAATGATAGTGGTGGTTATATAATATCTATAACAATAATATGAAATCTTCCACGCCGACTCATGACAAAAGTAATTATTGATGATTATGAACTAATTAGGTTAGGTTAAGTGTAAAATATATATGATCTATTAAACTATTTTTTTAAATAATAATAAGTGAAATTTATTCATTTTACTCAAACAGAATGATGAACTAAATAATGATGTAGCCCAAGAACATTTATTAATTCATGTTTAGTTGAAAATTTTAGCACACACATTATCTCTTAAAAGTCTTACATATTGATCATTATGTACAACATCAAAACCCATCTCCTTGATTTTCAATTTTCAATGGCATCAAATCTTCTTCGGGAGGGTCGTMAAACATAACTAATTCATGAGAACTGGTAAGTTATGCAATACAGAACAAGAATTAATTACTTTCACAATCCTTTCAACTTTTCGTAATTTAAGAAAATATAGTTACCGAAATCTTTGCTTACCAAATGCATGTTCTAMGACAATTCTACAAGAACTAAGATTTCTATTGAATTCTTTTTGATTTCTTGTGAGGTGTCTATTATCTTTGTATGGTACCATGACTTCCTTGCGCAATGGATATGCATTATTGGCCAAAATATAATAATCACCTGCAATAGAATTTCATTTTAAAACTTTCAATATATGTTTTACTTATTTAACAATAGTATAAAGAGTATATATTATTATGTGTAATCTAAATATTTTACATTTATACTTATGTCGAATAAAATAATGCTACAATAATTAATGTACCTAATAAAATTTACTTGAACATAGTTCTGACAAGGACGATGATGACTCCTTAAATACTGTAGTATCGTGTACTGAACCTGGATACCCAATAAATACATCTAAAAACTTTTTTTTTTCATTTACAGTACATCTGAATTGAATAATATTGCTTACGATTTATATATGAATCTGGGCCCACTTCTGGTCTACCAATTCGTATGTGTGTCTTGTCAATGGCTCCTGTGAAATCAAATTAAAATAAATATAATACCATAATTGATTATTTTTATTATTTTTATATATATGAAAAATTAAACAACCACCTATATAGTTATAATATTAATTGCTTACCAATTACATTAGGGAACTTTTTAGTTTGATGTAAATGTTCTGCTGTTTGTTTTTTTGTTTTCTGCATTTGGATGTTTAATTATAGTAGGGGATAATGACATAAAATAACCAGCAACACGCGTTATAACATCAAATAGTCCACTTATAGTTATTCCAAAGCGATCAGCAACTAATAACTAGAACTTTGATGACCAATAAACCATAAAAATGTTAGAATGTGTTTTTCTGGAGTGAACGGTAATCGACCAGCAGATTCTGTGAGGTAGTTATGAAAAAATATAAATTAATGAAGAACCATGAAACTACGAGAGAACTATATTTATTGAGCAAAATCTACAAGTAAATCAAACCTTTCAAATTGTTATAAAAATGTGTMAACTCAAATCTACAAATAAGGTCTTTGGCAACAGATTTACCAAGTCTAAAATGCATAATGAAGTCTCTGTCACTATAATTTGAGACAATTTGTAGGTAGTTTATTATTTGTACACAATCAATCCTTTGAATYCCATTTATCACAGTATGTACAACATTAACAATATCTTCCAGGTCATCTATATTATACAAAGAGGTAATAATCAGACAGTATAATAGACTCAATAAGCAACTTAAGAAAATTGATAAAATAAGCTAATAGTAAATAATCTTCAACCAGTCTACCTAGTAAGAAATACTATTATACAACTAGTCCCTAACAAGTAGGGTTACCAGACGTCCTCTTTTCCCCAGACATGTCCTCTTTTTAAGCTTAAATAAAAACTCCTGGGGGTTGTTTTCAATATAGGAAAATGTCAGGGTTTTTCATGAAATTAGAATTTTTTTAATAATCACCTCGATATCAGTATACATATAATAGGTATTTATATAATTGTCTTATTCTGTGTTAGTACTTATTTATTTCTGAATCACAAAGAAATTCTATAGTATTTAATTTATTTTCTTAAGTCTAAATATCAACTAATAAATGTGAACAGTAAAATATAATTTATACCTAATGATATAATATTATGTATATCATATTATTATTACAGTAGGTGTAATAGGTACATTATGAGAAAAATAAAATGTACTTGATCTTGAGAAAAATGTCTTCTTTTATTGTCAACCATAAATGGTAACCCTACTAACAAGTCTGAGTTTAACCAAAATTATATCATAAAAATAATAAAATTTAATTTCTTCCACTTCTTCAATTTCATCATTTTGTTGAAATTGTATATTATTTTGGAAACATATATTGTGTAAAATAGTGCAAGCGTTAACTATTTTACATGCTTTTACTGGTGAATAATGCAAAATTCTATGTTTCAACAAACACCTAATTTGAAATATTTGTAAGTATTAAAATTATAAATAAGTTAATCATTACAGTAATATAATAATATTAACTTGCCTAAAACGCATTTTCAGAAGACCAATACATCTTTCAATCAAACTTCGAACATATTTAAATCTGTGATTGTATCTTTCTTCCGTTGTATTTGGTTGATATTGTGTTAAGGGTGTCATAAGCCAAGGTCTCAAGGGGTAACCGGAATCTCCTGTAACCCATATTAGTTGTGTTTAATTTTTTCAATTATGTAATAAATAACTTATAAGATAATAAATTATAATATAAAGAAAATCAAACTATCATATGGATAAAAACTACCAATGTAATGAAAAGTGCCTACTAGGACATATTCATACCTAAAAGATAGAATCCTTCAGGGTAATGGTTATTAATTTCTCTAAGAATAGGTTCTAGTTTACTATTGTTCCAAATGTAGGCATCATTTACACTCCCTGGAAATAATRCTGAAACATTAATTATTCTCATATCCGAATCACATACCAACATATAAAATAAATAAAGAAGTATTATTATGGAAATTATAACATATTAATACTAAAGTCTATCATTAAATTTATTATTTAACCAATGTAATGATCAATAATATACGTACTAGTTGGACATTAATGCTATGGTAGTTTTTTCTATTTACATATATATATATTCAGGATGATCTGGATCATCCTTTTTGGGGGGAAACATTCCAACATGGGTACAATCAATAATGCTCACTATTCCCGGAAAATTAAATTTAGTATTAAACCTGTAAAAAAATTATTATATTATATATATATTTATTAAAGTATATCTATAGTGTAAGTTACTTTTCTCTTGTTTGTCGTAATTCGTCATATGTTGATGGAACTTTTACCCAGTAATCAAATATTTGTGGTTGATTCATAGCATTTACTACTTCATAAATTGCTCTCGAAACAGATGGCTGGGAAACAAATGCCAAATGACTATTTCCAACGGGATGTTGGTAAGAACCGGTCGCGAAAAAATTTAAAGCTATAAATACCTAAATTATAATTAACAAATTAATTGACGAGTGTCTTAAAAATATTAAGTATAATTGTTATAAACATTAAAAGATGTRAAATTTTAAGTGTATTGCAGAGGTAACTTAACAGTTAATATTAATGATTAGGAATTAAGTTCACCTACAATTAGGTATTGTTATGCACAGCCGCACAGAAATGTATAATTTACTTACTTTAGTTTGTATATCTAATGCAGATTTTCTTGTCRGTTCTACCAGAAATGGAGTAAGAATGTTTATAACATATCTCACTAAATTTTTATTGAGTCCAAATTTTTTAATAAAGACATCGTCTGGTAATAAAAAAGCATCAAACCTTTCTTTATGATTTAATTTTCTATAATTTAGAGCATTTTCTTGTCGTTCGAGATTTTCTAGGGCAGCTACATAAAACTCATCCATTATCACCAACAGATATTTTAATGTTTAAATATTTTGATCATTATAATATTATTTATAATATAATGCAATAAATAAAAAGATAAAAAATAAACTGTAAACAATTAGGTTCTAAATGAAATATAAGATTTTTTAGTATGTATCAATAGAGCATGGTAGTGTGACGTCATGATAATGTTATCACACCGTGATAAAATTTATTGGTTCCAAACAAACAATATTTCACATTCCGAATAACTGGTTTTTCAAACTATTTAAGTGAAAATGTGAAATACAGTTTTTAATTTACTACTTAGTATTTACACTTAAATACTTAATTGTAAGACAATAATACTAGTGTTACTAACTTAGTGTTATACTGTCATGGCTGCGTCTAGTTGGATAAAATTACATTGCGTTTATGCATTTTTTAAAGAAGAAGTAAAGTTAGTCAAAAGGGGTGAAAATGCATATGAAAGTGGGCATGTGAAGGAATGTATTTTTGTAGAAAATAATTTAAAAGGTGTAGTTAAAGCTAGTATGAGGGATCAAACGTACTCCATACAAGTAAATCAATGAATAATTATTTATGTAATATTTGTGTTTAGTATTTTAGGTAGTATAGCCGTACCTATAGGTATAGAATAATTTCTAGGTATTAACAGAA